AACACCTCTTCCAGCAGCAACCTTAGTTTTCCCCAGGAGGTCTCCCATCCAGGTACTGACCAGGCTCACACCTGCTTAGCTTCAGTGGGCTGCCAGTTGTGAGTTGCAGGGTGATATGGCTGCTGGCCAGTTTACAGTGTACTTCCCTGTAGTTTCCACCCTTGCCCTCTAGATTGTGTTTCACCGTTGATTCCAAATAAACCCATCAGATAAATTGACTTTGTGACAGCTCTTCGTGTAAAAAATAAAATATATATATTTTTTTTCTGTTACGTTTCTGCTAAAACAATTGTAAAGATGAAAGAACAGATTGGAGAGGTTCTTGGGGAGGAATTTCGTCTGTCTAGAACTATCTGTCATTCCTGTACTGATCTAAACAACTCCCTACTTGAAGTGAAGCAGTTGTAGAGAGAAGCATTTATCTTCAACAACATGATGAACAGAAGGGAAATGTTATGAATTCCATGTAAAGACCTCCTTTAACTATACTGTTGTCTTTATTTTACTGTCTTGTTTGCAGTGGGATTTAGGTTGACTGTGTTGACCTCCACACTGTTATCCCCTATGACCCCAAAAAGATGGTATATTTATGAATCTATGAACTGGCTTCATAACTCTGCTTTCCTCCCCACTGATAGCTGATGTGTGGTGAGCGTTCTGGTGTACTATGGCTGGCGTCGCATCATCCAGGTGGGGGGGGGTCCCCATTACCTGTAAAGCGCTTTGAGTGGAGTGTCCAGAAAAGCGCTATATAAGTGTAAGCAATGTATTTATTTATTAATTAATTAATTAATTTATTTTTTACTGAAATACAATCATACATTCAATTAAAGTTGGTTTAATTTGATGTTCAATGTAAACGTGTTGTAGATGATATTGAAAAAGTGACTCGCCTTTATATATTACTGAAAACTTCAGTAAAATATCATGCTGACATCTTCATTATTGTGTACAATTTGAAACTTCAATTATGTTATAGGCTGGAAGTTGTGATGCAGTGATATGCATGTGGTCAATTTTTAAAGGTCATTCTAAAGGTGAACAGAAAGTTGCTGGTATACTAACAGGTGTTTTTCTTGTAACTAAGTTTGTGAAGAACAATAATTATTGTATTCCAACAGTAGCCTCAAATCGCTGGACACTCTGTTAATGTATTGCCGATAAATACAATGCCCTAATATCACACATATTTAAACATTTTGTTTTGTTAGAATTGATCAAGCATCTGCTCTGCTGGAATGGAATTCATAAAGAAAAGGACTTAGACTTCATGTCCCATGAGTTAAATGTATTTATCTAAGCATTAAAAGTCCTTGCTGATGCTCTTTTAAAGTTGTTTTACAAAGCTATCTTCTACTATCATCTGATAACTGTAGTTCTGTCTGGACTGCACATTAAAATACATAATACTCTGCTGTACAATCATATAAATCTGGTGTTTTGCATTATGTAAATATTCCCCCCCTCAGCATGTTCTAGGTGATGTAACAAAGAAGAAAATTATTAATTTGGTTCTTAATAATGAGGACATTTTACTGAACATTTTTGTTTTTCAGTTACATCAACCAGACAGGTATTATCCTGCCTGCTAGTTTAGGGTTGGAATAGGTTTGCTGTGAATGGAAAACAGCTCAATCAGATGAGGTAATGTTCAAGGTCAGAGAGCTTCAATTTCAGAGTGTAATGGGAAAGCTTTTGTCATACATTGCAACGTGTTTATGTAAGTAGCATCAATTGTATTTCAATTTCAAGTTAAAATGAACAAAATGTCTACATTTAAAACACAAAATATGGATTTCAAATCCTGTGATACAAAAAAAGGCTTTACTTGAAAACCATTACTTGAAAATCATTTTGGGTTCATTTTCTTACATATAATAAAAACAACCTTAATAGTTCCATGTAGGGTAGTTTAAGAAACTGTATTCATTAATATGCGATACGTTTGACAAACATTGGATTTTGTGCTCCACCTTGTGGTCTAGTAGTGCTACATAAGGAAGATGTTTGATGAAAGCTCATCAGGACAGAATAGTATTGTTTTTTTTTTTCGTTTTAATCCTTTATTTTGTTGGGTAAGTCAATTGATATGTCAATTGTCACTTACAGTGACAACCTAATAAAGAGTCTTACACTGATGTAGCCTTAAAAACAGAGTAGTGAAGGAAAACAAATGAACAACCATAAAATGTATGGTAACACAGTGATGTGGTATTAACATATACACGTCTGAGGCAGAAAATATTTAATTATGTACAACTTGAAAATCTGCAAATTACTCTGGTCACTAACAATTCAAATGAACTGTGTACCAAAAGCATAGCTGATCCTGTAGATCAACTATGATTAAATTCTGATTAAATAGTAGCTTTTGATCTCAGGTATGTGCCTTGAGAGAGGAATCACAGTGGTTGCAGAACGAAAAACTAACAAAAAGTAAAACCTCTTATCTGGCATGATATAAAACCAAATGAAGTTTTTTTTTGATTGAGCAGTTTTATTTAAACTTTG